AAGAAGGGTCCAGACCCGAAATGTCAGCTTTCCTGCTCCTCTGATGCTGCCTGGCCTTCTGTGTTCATCCAGCTCTACACCTTGTTATCTCAGACTCCAACATCGGCTGTTCCTACTATCTGATTGGAATTTGTACGGTGTGCTTTAACAGTGCCTGGGTATTGTACTTCAGGCATCATGTAAAATTGGTACAAGCTGCATAGGTAAACAATTGCTGAGTGCAGCCAATACTCCCCATATTTTTCATTGGTTGCGTACATCTGCGGAGGACCCACTGCAGATTAGCTACAGCTACTTCAAAACAACCTGCACCTCATGGAGGTGAGGTCCGATCTCACTGCTAGATGTGACGGGTTTTCCCCCAAATGCTCAGACAGCTGTCATCATGGCTGCTCAGCTTCCACAAACCTCCAAGGCTATCTCCAATATCATGAACTGAAGGTTAGCAGGCTTCCATTCCCATGCTGCTACCTCTGAGGAAGCATCTCCGACAAGCACTAGGACAGGCAAAGGCACACACAAGATCCACATGAAAAGAATGCAGAAGGCTGATACGATTATTAAAAACGTATTATGCTGTGATCGAATTTATAGAATTGGATGAAAGCCTTTTCAAGTGTTTTTTGTTTTTGTACCAGCAGAGAGACGATAATGTGATGTTCAGTGACCAAGGGAAGGCAAGAAGTGTGGAGCTGTTAGTGAATGGGAAGTATGGTTAAGATCACTTGTGTTGCTAAATTACTTCATTACGTATAATCTGGGGATTAAATGGTTGTCTATGATATAGTCTCCCTCCCACTAAGTGTTCTATACTTCCTATAGCAGCAGGTTAGCTCAGTGGTTAGCACTGTAGCCTCATAGTGGCTGGGACTTAGATTCAACTCCAGCCTTGGATGCCTGTCTATGTGGAGTTTGCATGATCTCCCTGTCGCTGCATGGGTTTCCTCTGGGTGCTCCAGTTTCTTCCCACAGTGAGGGTTAGGTGGATTGTTCACACTAAATTGTCTGGTAGTGTCCAGGTTAGGTGGGTTAGTCATGTAAAATGTGGGTTTATGGGGATAGGGGAGCTTAGAACAAGGGCATCAGTTTAACAATAAGGGATCTACCATGCAAAATAAAGATGAGGATAACTTTGTCTCTCAGAGGATTGTGAGTTTGTGAAACTCTCTTTCTCAGAGAGCCTTGAAGGCAGTTTAATTGAATATTTTTAAGGCTGAGGTAGATAGATAATTGACCACCAATGGATTCAAAGAATGTCAAGAGTAGGAAGCAAAGTAGATTCAAGGTGACAATCAGATTAGTCATGATCTTATTGAATGCAATTCAGCTTGATTGCACGAATATCAACAATTTGTAATTCCTATTTGGTCTGTTCATACATATGAAAGGATCCCCTTAAAATCCTTAAAATCTTACCTTAGATGATTTTGGGAATCCCCAAGGAGAGATAAAGTGAATTCCAAAGGGTTGTGGCAGAGTTTACAATTGATCACTGGAGCAGTGAATGCACTTTCATGGGTGGGTAGTTGGTGGGAATTAAAACATACAGATTTGGTGCTAAATGCATACTGATTGCTTTGTTTAATTCTTATATACCATAAAATTTGCTTTCATTAAAAAACATGAAACCCTATGGCATGGTTCTATTGGTTGATTGCTGGCTTGTCAGATTTCTCTTTAAAAGTTAACATTCCTTGATAGGATCATAGATTTTGATAGTTGCAGGCAATGTTGATGCCTTATTTTATGGTTGCAGTTGAAGTAGCAGCAATTGGCAGTTCTAGTCATGAGCACTTTTGTGAAGTGGAGACAAGTCAAACATTGATTCTCGCTAGGGTTGAGGTAAGTCTCTTAAAACCTTTTGTAGGAATGGTCTTCTGCTGACAGTTCTTCTCCTCCCCCTGCTCCTACTTCTAGCAGCGTGTCCTGCTCTGTATGACCTCTCTTCATTATCCCAATCCTGCTCAAACTACAGAAGAAATCCTGCCAGGCCACCTAAGTCTGAAAATAACTTGTTTCAGTACATGCCCTTAAATAAACGAAGAAAGGACTTTGACACCAGCCAGCCAGAAACAATAATTTAAAAAGTAATGCAAAAACATCAAAGTTAAACCCCAAATATTTAAATCTCACATTCATCCTATTTTGCTTTCATGTTGTGATCAGAATGGTCATCCTAACTACATTTTATCCCCCCTAGCTTTGAGATATTCTAATTATTTTAATTCAGTAAAATCATTATGGAAACTGGATAGAGCAGGAGAATGGGACGAACTGGATTGCTTTCAGAGAGCTGGTATAGATTCAATTACCTCCACGCTCTTTGTGCTGCTTAGAGTCATTAGGTGCATGTGTGCAAATCCCTTTACCATGATGGCATTTGATGTACTTCTTGGAAGTGTTCATGCACATTTTGGACCCCATTGAGTTTTCAGAAACCATATAGCACCTAAAGAACAGGTGGGTTATGGCCCAATTTCTCCCCTGAGAAATTTGCTTTATGACTGTTTCAATATTTTTTGGCACATATTACCAGGCAATTAATATAGATCTCTTGACCTGAGCATTTCTCGTTGATCCTTTATGTTCCAGTTGTACTGTCCTGAATTAACAAGTTCAAAAAACTTCATTCTTCGCCTAAAAAAGAAATATGTCAGTTTTTAAGTTCTAGATTATTTCTAGACATTATGTTGGTAATATTTGATAATTTGTAGTTTTCTATTGAAATACATGTAAATACAATACTATATCTACTAGTTGTGATATAATTATTTCATTCTCTGTTAGAAATACTAAATTCAGCATTGCTAAATTGATGCAAAACCAAATGTACTAATTGCTTAACTCAGAGCAATATTTAATGTTACGTAGCAGATTAAAATTGAACTCTATGCATCGCAACACAGAAAAGGAGCAAATTTAGTGCAGACTAGTTCAAATCCTCTTATACCATAGCTGTTTCGAACACAGTTTGGGGAGATGGTTATATTAATTTCCATTTTATATTGATGGAATTTAATTGCTGCTTTTTTTACATATGTGTTGGCACAGAAAATAAACAATATACAGTAAATCCAGTATAGGTCGATACTTAAACAGAATGTTATTTAATATGTTTTTCCTCTTGCTCAATCTGTAGCAAAAAACCCCATTAAATTCATATATATTCTTTTCTTTGGAGGAAAAGTAGAAAAGGATCAGTAGAATATCTTTTGAGATTAATGAAGGACATGTGGCAATAATAGGGCAGGCTGAAGCTTTATAATTGGGATGGATCTCAGAAGAAATTGTCTTGAGAATATTTTGCCAGCAATGATACTGTTGTAACTGTTTCCAGTTGGAAGAACATGACCATAGCAGAAAGCTGTGCAGAGAGCAGGCTGCAATGTTCAGCACACAGTGAAATTTCAATGCCAGCCAGTTTTCTTTAAAGCAGTAAGCCATTACCATTGTTGTCTGGAGTACTGGGTGCAGTAGTGGTCACTACATCCAGAAGGGAATTAATGCATTGGAAGCAGTTCAGACAAGGTTTACTAGACCAATACCTGGAATGAGTGGATTGCCTTATAAGGAAAGGCGAAGCACAGTGCTCCTGTATCCTTTGGACTTTAAATGAATCAAAGGAGACCTAATTGAAACATACAAGATCCCAAAGGGACTTGACTGGGTGGATGTTGAAAGGACCAGTTTTGAAGAATGGTCACTGGACTCCAAATGTTAACTCTACTTTCTATCCACAGATGCTGCCAGGCCTGCTGAGTTTCTCCAGCAATTGCTGGTTTTCTTTCAGATTTCCAGCATCTGCAGTTCTTTGTTTTATTTTAAGATATCAAAAGGATGTTTCCTCTTGTGGGAGAATCGAAAGCTAGGGGTCATAGCTTTAAAATAAGGGGGAGCCCATGTAAAACAGTGATGAAGAAACTATTTTTATCTCAGAGAGTCGTGAGTATTTGGAACTCCCTTCCCCAAAAGGCAGTGGATGCAGAAACTTTAAACTTTTTTAAGGCAGAAGGAGATAGATTCTATGAAAGATAGGGGATATGCAGGAGTATGGACTTGAGGTTAAAATCAAATGAGCCATGATCTTATTGACTGGTGGAGCAGGTTCGCAGGGCCGAATGGCCTACACTTGTTCATACGTTCTGAGCTCAACATATAAACTTTACCTTTTAGAAACAGGTTCAATAAAACAATCCAAAGTTTTCACTGGCAGGGTTTGGCTCAAAGGAAAGTGAATAAGCTTGATCATTTTAATTCTTATTTTTCATTCTTTACTGGCATATAAGTGTTGCCAGAAAGGCCAGCATTTGTTGATCTTCCTTGGGTGCCTCTTGAACCGAGTGACTGTTTGACCACTTCAAAGAGCAGTTGAGGATCAACAACATGACTGAGGTTCTGGAATCACAGGTAAGGGTGGCAGATTTCCTTCTCTAAAAGCGCATCAGTGAACCAGATGGATTTTTGCAATAGTTGATAATAGTTTCATGGTTTCCATTACTGAGACTAGTTTTCAATTCTAGAATGAAGTTACAGCAGCTACCACATTGGACACATTTCCCCAGAGTGTTAGTCTGGGATTACTAGCCCATTACCCTGCAATGCCAACTCTTTCATTTGAAAGTGCCCTTCAGCCCATTTTATCTCACATTTCTACATTACCTGCTGTACAATCTTTTTATTACAGCACTTAGCTATTGGCTTTGAGTTCAAATAATTACTTTATTTTTCACAACCCATCCACATGTTGACAGGTTGCTGCATAAAGAAAATATTTCCAACACATACCCACATTTGCCATTCACAAGTTGTAACTCATACCATCTGGCAAATCTGAAAATGTTGTTTAGTATTTATCTCATTAAGCATTTTATTTCTCTATAAGGGTCCAAAGAGATGTTTCTTTTCAAAGCTGAAAGGTTCTAATCTTTTAAATTGTTCCTATATAGCTCATCACTCTAACACCAGGGATCAATTATTCTGCTCTACTTTTTACAATCTCTGGGGCTTAGACAATGTTCTTATGCAACCAGAAGTGAATGTGATGATATTAGTGTTTTTTGATGAAAGTGCTGTGCTGCTTGAGCATATCCTGTAAAAAATTTGGATTCCATTTGTACAGTAATAAAAGTCAGCATCTTGTTTGTTTTGTTTTTTGCTGCTAGGTACTCATTAGACATGTTGAGATATAAGTTAGTTAACACCCCTTGGTTTCTTTCAACTTCTGCCTCACCCTGGAAGAAAATGGTGTAAAACATGTTGAGATAAAATTTTCGTTAGCATTGACTTCTATACTACTGGAGTTAGTCAGTTTCAATGCAAGCAAATATTACCCAACTAATGAAGGTCCCCGCTTATTGTTTACTTCCAATATTTGCTTTTACCTATTTTGAATTTTGTTTGCTGTCCTCAGCACAATTGCAAATCCTGCTGAGTTTATTTCTAGATCTATACTGCACCCACTGAATCCAAAATCTCCATCTAATCCCACCCAACCTTGTGCCGTTTGCAAAAATAAATTACTATTCAGCAACAGAGAGCAAACCAAGGTCACTTACACTCATGATTTAGGATCAGGACAGTTTCCAGTACAGTCCAGGTAGCAGAGGCAGGAGAGATAGACTACTCAATTATCGCCTGATTTTGAACTTGTAACTTTTACAACAATCTTTTGCTTTCTTCTTTTAAACTGGATGCTAAATTAACAGTCATGTCTTAACCTTGGCAATCATTGATGTTAATTTGCTTAAATAGCATTTGTTGTATCAAAAAACTTCTGCAGTCAGAGTATGGCCAATATAGTTTGTAAAGACTTATAGTTTATAAATTAATTTAATGGATACAGGCAAACCAAATCACAATAATTCCACATTACTTCTGTTTTGGCTTTATATTATGCCTATTCAGAATTTTGTAAGCACAAAAAATGGGAATATTTGCAGTTTTAATATCGATAATTTATCAATAAAATAAAAGCCTTTGAAGCTAAAGCTGCAGTTTATTCTCTGGAGAAAGCTGGTTGAATTTATAACTTTGGCAAATGAAAATTGGTTTGCTTCTCCTCACATCAAACATTAATTGCTTTCTTCTATTTGATTACTATTAGATGTAGTTTATGTGAACTCATTAAAAAATGTCTATACAAATGAATAATAATAGACAACATCTGGAAAAGCAATCAAAAGGTCTGAACCACTAAATACCTGTGGAATCATTCAGTGAGAATTCCCATTGCCACAAACTTGGATCTTCTTTATCAGCACATGCACTGCTGAGTTAATACCTGGAATATTAGCTCCAAGGGTTGTACTAAATACAGGATTTAAGCTCCCATCTTCAAAATATTTTCAAAGATCTAACTTGTTCATCTGTTGGGCATTCATTGAATCATTCAAGGTTTTTAGAATAAATATCAGAATTGAATACACATTGTAAATCCTGAATTCTATCTATAAAAGCATTAAACCTGATTGAATCACTAGCATTATTTATAGTAAGGATGCGACTACTGCTATGGTTCCAAACTGAGGTTTAATGGTTGTTTGCCTTGAAACATAGATATGATTTGCCAGTTTTAATTACTCATATATTTGATATTGTGTATCCCCTAATTCATTTTAGTCATTTTTTTCTACCTCCACAGACCACATTCAATATATAGTCATGAGATGAAGTAGATATCATGCTCCCAGATGTTTACCTGATGGTTTTGGATTGACCACTAGTGACTTAATGAAAACGGATCGATAACACAATAACTAAATTAGGTCAGGACACCAAAAGAAAGATTGTGAGCTCATCAGAAGCAAGAATTATCATATATGTGAGATCATGAAATGGATCTATTTTAAATTTGAACAATTGTAATTGTGTTCAGTTTCACCCATACACAGCCTTTGTTTAGAACACTTGATCATAAAAAGGTGCTCAACCTGATGACAATAACAGAGCTTCCATGTTTGCTTTTCAAATATCAAGAATGTGAACATCCATTCCAAAATCAGATTTTCCTGTTAACAAGCACAAAAGCTGCTCACCCTAGGACTGTGTTCACAGAAAATGAATCCCATTTAAAGTATTTGGGCAGGAGAAAATGGATCTTATATGGAAAAGGGGACTTTGTGGTAGGAAAACTGGAGCACAAATATCTGTCACATTTCTCTGTACTCAGATACTGCAAAGTGTTTAAAGGAAGAAGCCAAACTGACTTGATTTAGCCAGAAGGGAGGGTGTCACAACATCAGAGCCATGATTGGGATGCGATTGGGGTGCATGCTAACTCAGGCAGGGAAGCAGATTTTGGTTGCTACACCTGACACATGTGGGAGGGGGCCAATAATAAATGGAGATGGAGCAGACAATGCATCCATCTAAAACCGTAGCCATGTTCCCACTGCTGGTTAATTTCAGAGGCAGCAGGGTGACAGGGTCAGGAACATGTAAAGCAGAAGTGAGACAATTAAACCTGTTTAAAAAAGTCCAGATTAAAGCTATTTTGATGATCTGCTTAAATGCGGTAGGCTGGATTGGGCAACAGGGATGTGGGAGACACAATATTGTACTAATGTCCTTCCTGTTTTGACATTGTTATGTGACCTAAGTCATGAAGCACACTCACTGTAGGCAACCATTTTACAAGGAGTTCCAATAAAGCCAGATACAAGCAACATTGTACTCCATTTAAATCTGAACATTATGTTCAGATGTGGAGCTGAGATTGAATTTGAAGAGCTATAAAGAAGCACAGCTTTTAAAAGAAGGAACACAGATTGGTTCAGTATTGCTGAAAGCTGCTAAAAGCTCCTGGAAGACACTAAAAAGGAAAAATGAGCAAAGAAGCAGGTTGCAGCTGAATCCCAGTAGCAGTATTTTTTTTCTTTCTTGGCTACAGTCAAAATGAAAGGTGAATGATAAAAAAAAGGATGGTTTTTCTCTTACAACAGCAAAACCACGAGAATGTAACAGATTTAATTCATAATCCAGAGCAGCCACAAACAGCTAAACATTCATAACTGTTGGGGAGAGACTATTAAAATCCCTCTGAAGAAAAGAAAAACATAACAGACTGTAGCAATTTTGACAGCCTTGAGGACATGCTCTGAATTCCAACTGTATATAACTTATGAGTCGTATGTGTTGAACACTAGGATTCAAGATGATAAAGAGCCTTTGATCAGAATGTATCTGCATTTATACAGCTCACAGAATCCTGTGAATTGGGCACCTGAAAGATGATCTCAGAGATTGAATGATTTTCATTGCGGTAGGATATCTTATGCCTATGTTACTGCTAAGGAGAGAGAATCTCACTCTCAAAGTTATAAACAAATATGTCTAAGGCAACAGCAGAGTTACCTGAAAATATTATGAAACAGAACCAGAGGGCATATCACTCCAACCAAAAGGTATTGGAGGAAAATCTATATGTGCGATATGTATAAATACACTGACAAAATAGAAGTTAATGAGGTTAATAATAGTTCTGCTAATGCATGAGAACAGTTGCTTGCACAGTGGGATACTTGAGTAATTCACTATGTAAAAGTGCAAATTATTCTTTTTTGTTTGTCTTTGTATGAAAATGTGATCTTTTTGATTGAAAGCCAATATTGCATTGATGTCCTTCCTGGCTTGCCATAAGCCATGTGACCCAAGCCATGACGCACGCTCACTGAAAGCAGCCATCTTAAAGCAGTTCAAATAAAAACACAGTACAGGCACAATACAATTGCGTATTCCACTGAACATCTAACAGGAAGCATGGGACCCTTGTAGCTTCAGTGGGTTGCCTGTTATGAAGGAGTTGGTACCTCAATGATACAAGTGCTTCAACATAGGAAGGGCAAGAGATAATAAAGCACAGGAGAGAGAAGCTGGAGGCACTGCAAAGAGGACACACACATTGCAAGAGTTTCTACTGGGTAGAATTCATGCCTGGTCTCTCATAGAGTAGCCAAACTTGCCATTCTGTGCCCGTTCACCAGCAGGTTCAGGAACAGCTTCTTCCCAGCCGCTATTAGACTGACAAATGGACTCTCTAACTTCAAGTAATGCTGATCTTGCTAATATTGATCTTGGCTAGTGCATGTCCTGTGCAATGTAACCTGCATGTCTCTGTCTCAGGTTTTTTTTCACGCTATGATCTGTATGTCCTTGATTACTATGATCTCTCTGTACTGCTCATAAACAAAGCTTTTCACTGTACTTAGGTACATGTGACAATAAATAAATCAAATCAAATCAAATCAGTTCCAGGGTCGAACATTAGGAGGCCTGCTGCTGGGAACCAATAACATGTAAGAAGAGGCCAATAAGATTTAGTATTGGCAGCACAGTGCTCTGTTCTGTACCTCTGCTCTGAGGCAACCTTGCATGTCACTCTGAATACTGGTGCCTGGTTGTGTCAGATGTCTGGGTTGTCAACTTTTTCTCACATTTCATGACACCCACGTCTGTGAACCTGATTTTACAAGTTCAACATATATTTTCAAATCACAACAGATCATTGAATCATGAATGGCACTGCAACTGTGTCTGCGCTACGGCCTTGCAGTGGTATTTCTTTGTATCTTTCAGCCTTGCCTTTCTGGTGGGTTTTGCTGGCCATTTCGTCTCATCAAAACACGTCTCTCCATGCCCCTGTTACCCAGAGAAGTGCTTCCAGGGAAACACCAGAAAACCTGGGACCACGCTTCCTCTAAATGCAAACACCGATGAGACTCCCTGCCGTGTTCTGCTGTTTGATACATTTCAAATTGACTGCTGCTCTCCATCTAAATATAGTCCTGCATTTCAGCAGCAGGCACCTTCCCACTTGTGGATCCCCATACCCAGCTACCCACATCCTGTCCTTATCTAACCCTGCCTGACCTGACATTTGTCCCATTGACTTTAAACCAATCCCTTTGACCAGCCCAGATGGACCCAATACTCATCACTGACCCGACTCTGTGGATCTTATGTGCCTCCGCTGACCTAAAATCTCCCCAACTTGACAATCCCACCCCCAACATAGGCAGATCCTACAAACCCCCATCCCATCACTTCAATCCTCCTCATTTCTGTCCTAACTAGGTGACCCCTTATTCTGAGATTATGCTGCTCTTAGACTATCCTTCAAAGGGAAACAACCTTTCCACACTTCCTTTGTCAAGTCCCCAGAGAATCTTATATGTTTCAATAAGGTCACCTCTCATTCTTCTAAGCTCTAATGAATACAGGCCCAACCTACTTAACCCTTCCTCTCCTCATAAATTTTGTAGTTCTGCAGCACAAAAGAACTGTCAAAATAGTGATATAGTTGCACATTTCTGAGGAGACCCTACTGAAATCTCCTCTCAGAAATGTAGAGTTCGCTTCTTTTCCTAAAAAAGGAAGGGCGCATGCCACTCCTTGGAAAACCTGGCCCAGGAATTCAATCTTGGCCCATTTTACTTGTCATGGAACCTCTAATGCAGAGGAGATAAAATTCATGCAAAAAAATGTCTAAAGGTTAATTTAAAAATTTGGTTCAAGTCCGGTGCCTTTAGGTTTTGAATTTAATTTAGCTAATAACTCTACCATAAAGGTTTAGCCAACTGAACTATAAATTGTTGCACTGTAGCTGTCAACATGTGAAGATGCAGTGACCCCTTTAGACTTGGACAACAATCACATCTGTGCAAATTCAACTGAAGTGAGTATAGCCATTACCCTTTTAACCCCTCGTTTTAAAATTTCATCTTGCTTTTCATTTCTCCCCTCACAGTAGGATGTCTCTGACTCTGTGCTAATGAAGTACTGTTTTAATGCACTTTGACCTTGTAATACTTACAATGAACCTCAATCTTACAACAGTTTTAGTTCTTGGAAAGAAGAATCTTGAATTAATATAGTCTTAAAGGTCAGAGTCTGCTGCAGAAATCCATGTTCCAAAATTGCCACAAAATGTAAGTTTAAAATAAAATGAGCTGACTGCTGCATTAGTGATACAAACATATAACCCATATTGGCCCTTTTCAGGAAGTGTTTACCCTTGAACTGATTTCTTCATTTATTTTCAAACCCAATATTTCATTTAAAAAGGCATATGAGATCCCAGAATTTTCAATTGAAGAATTGAATACAAAACAAAAATGACTGGTTAGACTTTAGATGTTCTATTGTGGCTCAGTTCTGGGCACCAAGCTTTGAAAGAATATTAAGAATTTAGACAGAATTCATGGGAGATTTACTAGAATTATTCTATGGCAACAGACTTCAGTCATGTGAACAAAGTACAGAAGTTTAGGATGTTCTCCATACAACAGAGTTAGCTAAACTGTTGGTAACAGAGGACAGATTTAAAATAATTAGCAAAAAAAAAGAGGTGGCATGAGGGCTCTTTGAAAAAAAGTGATATGCTATCTGAAATGCACAGCTTGAAAGGTGGTGGAAGCAGATTCAAAAGTAATATTCAAGGAAGGAAAGAAATACAGGGCTCTGGGGAAAGAGCAGGGGTAAGAGATTAATTGGATCACTCTGCCAAAGAGATGACACAGACATGGCATGTTTCATGATCTCTTTCTGTGCTGTATTCAATGATCAGTGTTAATTGGTGTAAAAACTAATTCAATACCATGGATAAAGTGATCGAAAAGGTTCATCATTTTTGTTTTTCACTGTTTACTCAAAGTAATGCCAGCCACATAGCACATAAAAGCAGCCACATTGTTGCATTGTCTTTTGGTTAGAATAATCCAAACATAATACTACGGCCTTGCTCTCTCTTTACAGTCCTGTCTCTTCCTCAATTCCTCAAATTCTGGGATCTCATATGCCTTTTTAAATGAAATATTGTTTTTTAGTGTCATTTTATAATTCCAAATATGTGTGTATTTTTAGTATTGAAAATCGTAACAGGTTTAATTTATGTACGTCTGATTGAAATAAAGACCAATTAATTTCTGCCGTGTTCCCTCAAAGGCTAATTTTAATTTATTAGGTGAAATCCAGGATCTCCATCTGAATTATGAGAACAAGCTCAGCCGATTCAATTCAACATCCAAGAGCCAGTAAAATCAATAAATATTATAACTTGCATAAAGGCATCCTTTTTAACCTGAGGATTTATTTTCAGATAAGCAGAGGTGTGGCTACAGTATTGAAATTTAAAAAGGGATGAATACCTACTCAAAGTAGAGTGTCAGATCAGTTGCTAGTATTGACTGTTTCAAAAGCTGCATGATGTCACTATACACCCTGGAAGACAGACTTGCAAAAATATTGTGCCCCTGTCATGAGGGAAAGGAAAAAAATGCAGTTAAAAATATTATCAATACAGTTTATTACAGAACATTTAGAACATTCGTAATATGTGCTATCCCATCACTGACAGCCTGCTGGGGAGGGCTTCGAATTAAATGCCCGTATAGAGTTGGCAGCCATGGCTTCAGGGCTCCTGCTGCAAATGTCTTGCTGTTTGCTGGCCAGCTGAGCTGATGTTTTAATTGACCCAAAAATTCCTGTCAATGATCAAGGAAGCGACCCAGCTGTTAATGAGATTTGGCCTTGTCCATCTAATGTCATTAATACATTGCCCCGGGAGTTGCTGGTAGTGGGAGATGGAAACAGCAGGGCACCCTCGAACTGAACAAAGAACTGTGGATCACCTTGCCACATCAGGTTTCAGTTCTGGAAAATAGATAAAGCAGGATCTGAAAAAGGAAGTATTACTTAGGATGGTCAATACAGTTTCAGGTTAAATATAGAAGGGGAGAATGTAACAAAAGGTATGAAAGGAGAGCCAGAAAGGAAGAATACAAGTTGTTTAATGTTTTCTAACATTTTTAAAACTCCAGTAAAAAAACAATTTAAACAATGAAGGACTGGCGTTCCACACGTGTTAATAGTTAATATTCAATCGCAGAGCTGTTAACTAGCAGTAATAAACACTGTCTCCTCATTAAGAGGGTTGTTGGACTTGGGAGTAATTTATATTCACTTTGGGGTAGGTTGGCAGGAGAGCATGAGGCAAAACATAATGTGTGACATGTCATGTGCTCTTTTCCTTGCATACACTTGCTCGCCCCCTACTCCATTACCGTCTCACTTCCAATGGGGGCAGTGTTGGGTGGCCCAATTGCCCTTAGGCCAATTGAGGCTGATAGGTAGCAATTTCTCACATGGCAGGTGGGGGAGGACGCCAGGTTTGAAGTCCGCCAGGTCCCACTCCTGGAATACTATTGGAAAAGAGGAGAGGTTGCCCTGTTTATAGCCCTCCCTGGGCCCATTGGAGGGCAGACTCAAGCTGTGGTCCACAGCTCTGGGTTACCCATCTCAAGTGGCTTGTGTGCTCCCGCCAACTGTATGGAGAAGCCCTCCCTCCCAAATTACTTCTCAATCTAATTCCTGTGTGAGATTGGATTGCCTATAGCCCAGTATTGACCACCACTCTCAGTTGGGCCAGAGATAGTGGGCAGATTGCAGAGCTGGGACATTCTCCCCATATAGGTGTGGAAGATTCATTCTGGACCACGTAATGCTGTGGGGCAACCTGCAGACATGGATTGAATTCTCAATTGACCTTTTCAACAGGGAGAGGCAGAATAACAGTGGTCAGAAAAATGCTGTCCTTTCTGCAGTGAGTTTACTTCTTATTTATAATTCAAACACATGAACCTAATGCAACTCAATGCCTTTGACTTGGTTGTCAGGTAACAAGTGACCATTTCTTGTAAAGTTAACACACATTCCCAATACCAACTTCTTGATTTCCACATTTAATCACAAGAAGGCTGGATACATTAGAATTCAACAAAACTTTGCTAAAAGTGTAAAAACAGTAAATGATGTGCTTGTTTTTCTTAAATTCACTCATGGGGTTTATCATCTCTGGCTGGGTCAGCAATCATTGCCCATCCCTAGTTGCCCTTGAGAAGGTGGTGGTGGGGTGAGCTGTCATCTTGAAACACAGTGGCCTGAATGACATGGGCTATAGCAAGAAATGTGGTCAGATCATGTGAATAATCCAGCGAAGCCTATCTCAACATCAGGAGCAACTCACTGCATCTTTTAATTAAGTTCCACACGTCAAGGTGAAATTCTTGCTGGCAGTGGCGAGTTGACAACGAAGGGAGATTATTGATTGTTAATGATCTTATTAACTGCAGATTGCACTTCTTTCATATGCAGCTTCCATTCGGACCATCCTCTATAAGCAAACTAAACATCGAGAATTCTCCACATGGATGTCAGAGCAGGTACCCGGCAACTGTGAAGAGACTCCAGGTTCCTTACCATACAACAGCATCTCAGGGCACCAGTCCCATGCACTCCTTATTTTAAAGGGGTATAGTTTAAAATGCATTGTAGTAATGAGTAATAATAAGTAATGTTTTTCCTTGCTATTTTTTAAAGGATAAATTTGATTACAATAAATAGTTATTCTCCTGTTAATGGCAAAACCTGGAGTGAAATCCACACTCCAATTCCAGTAGGTTATGATGACTTGATGAATAGTGGGGCTTGATTATCAGCACCTTCTTCGCCTTTGAGTAATGAGAAAAGGATGTTTCGTCTTGTGGCCATGCCCAGAACTAGGAGCACTGTTTAAAAGGTAGGGATCATCATTTTAGGACAGGGATGAGGAGAATACTTTTTTTCCCATAGGGTTGTGCACTTTGGAACTCTTTGTCTCAGAATGTGGTGGAAGTGGGGTCACTGAATATTTTTGAGGTAGAGGTAGATAGATTTTTGTTAGGCAAGGTTATCAGTGATAGATTACGATGTGCAAATCAAAACACAAACAGATCAGCCATAATCTGAATGAACCAAAAACAGAAATTGCTGGAAAAGCTTTTCAGGTCTGGCAGCATCTGTGCAGAGAAATCAGAGTTAATGTTTCAGCTGGAGTGACCCTTCTACAGAGGAATGGTTCTGAGAATGGGTCATTCGACCCGAAACGTTAACTCTGATTTCTCTCCGCAGATGCTGCCAGACCCGAAAAGCTTTTCCAGCAATTTCTGTTTTTGTTTCTGATTTACAGCATCCGCAGTTCTTTCGATTTTTATTTTATGATTTGATTGAATGCTGAACCATGCGTGAGAGGCCATATGGCAACTACTGCTCCTAATTTGTATGTTCAAAGATACTTTTGTAGAAGTACTTAAAGCTTTTCAAAATTACCTTAATCAGAGAGCAAATAAAATTATTGAAAGAGCCAAGATTTCATAGAAGAATACACTTCTGGGCATTCCAAAAATAATTTCATTAGAGATCTTGACAGATTAGTGGAGAACTGAGACTATGGTGATTTAAAATCTGAATTTGTAAGAGTAGAAATGTTGTTGGAATTGCTGATGAGTCTTTCTCAGATTTATTACAAACAAAAGAAGACCTGACTCTAGAGAAAGCCATTCATGTGAAACAGAAGTCAAAAAGAATACAGATCAATACTAAAACAGATTAGGAGAGACCATTCAATTTTTAAGGTATAAAACCATAAAAGACACAAGTGAGAAGCCAGTACCAATAATTAGGGCAGGTATCCAACACTAAAAGTCCTTGTCAGCATTACTGAGCAAAGAAACCTTATAGCAGAGACAGTGCCCATTTATTAAATGTGAATGATTCATCTGTCACACAATAGGTCACTATCAGAAACTGTGCAGCAGTAAGGCATATTCACAGAAAATCAAGAAGTCAAATATCTATAATCACAAAGTGGTTAGTGTCGTAGACAGACTGCAACAGTAGGAAAGTTTTAAGCATTACTTGGGGAAGTAGGTGATGCAGAATTTTCATTTTGTTAAACTGGTACTTGTGTCAAAAGTCATCTCATGAATTTTAGTTAGATGCTTGGTCAAATGTTTCTACATCATTGCTGAAGCTTCTCATTTTGCACGCATCAAGATATTTTGCAAGATGTCACACTGTGCCTGTTCCAACTCAAAAATAAGTGACAGCCATTTGCTGTTTCATTTCTCAGGGCAAAGCCCTAACCAATCAGCAACAGTTTAAAATTTAAACAAAGCCCAACTATTAACTGTCAGCCAGCATTTATAGGTGTATTCTCATTGGCAACACCTCAAACAGTGACAGTCCACTTGCCAACCAATTGGCACTCTGCTGTCATCCAGTATAAATGTCAGTTTTCCTCTTGATATTGTGTCCTTGTGAAATGTCCTAATGAGTGCAACACAAAGAGTTGCAATAAAATTCACCTTTTTTCAGTAAAACACAAATTATGTAAGACCAAATGACTACTTGTCATGATACTATCAGAAAGTGAACCATGGTTGAGAAAACACTGTCAACAGCCAACAACAATGCAAATACAAGATCCAGGAAGCATTTCATTGCAGATTAAAGGAATGCCATGAGCAAATCTGCAAGCATTGTCAAACAGAAGAAAATGTGTACATACTTCACAATCAAGAATTCTCATTCAAGTAGGAATGTGCATCTTCAGCTTAATCTTCTTCAAATGGTAGAAGTACTTAAGCTGGTTAAAGTCAAACAAAAACTTGTCATGAAACAGCCAGTCAAGCAATAACTAGTCAAGGAACACCCTGTCAAGGGACAGCTAGTAGAAGATTTCATAGGGCAGTCTAGACCCATGGCAGAATGCAAGCAGAAAGTAAAGTTCATTGAAATTAGTTATGTTAACTTAATAAATTTGTTTGATCCTGTCAACGAGATGGGAATCTATAACTACACTAGTTTGGCAGAAATGTTTCTCACTGCTATGAAAAACAAACTTAATTCAGACTGCACAAATCAGCAAAGTTTGAGAGGAAACATAAGCAATAAGATAGTCAATGAGCAATACACACCACTTGAGCCAATTAACAAATCTTTAACTGAGATAACTCAGAATGCAACACAGCTTGGAAAAGTAATAGCTATGACAGATTTAAATCTGATGTTAGATGCTGCGTGACTTTTGAAGAGACAAGTTCAAACTGAACATTTGATGTCTTTATCTTTGCAGGAAGAATCCTCAATGATAGTGACAGATATCCTGCCAAGCTAGAAACAGTCTTGTAGGACCACAGTTGGTTTTGCAAATAGTGTAGTCACTGAGGGGGCATGAGAGAATGTCCAAGCCAATTAAAAGAGAAGTAAAGGGTCTACATGGAACATTGATCTACAGGCAGATTGAGAATAGAAATCTGCTAACACAGATTGAAGCTGTGGCACATGCCACACCACAGGTCCATCACTGAGAAGGGACAATTAAAATCCAACAATTCAAGATACTACAAAGAAGAGATTGCCCTTTTCAGATCTT